AGAACACCCTCATCCCTTCATGCTGAACCACTGGATCCCAGAGCACCCCAGATCTGTGCCTTCCCTGCAGTCAGACATGCTTTGCTGCTCTGCCTTTCCCACCTTCCAGTCCCACTCCACCCCACATTCCCCATGGCCCCATCCTGCCAGCATATGTCACAGCATAAAGCCCTGATCCCAGTGAAGCTGTGGGGAAACAGGAATCCAACCCAAGGAGAGACATCCCAATGCAGGGAACACTCTGGGGTCCAGCCCTGGTCCCTGTGGGCACTCCTTGCCATGCAGCACTTATCGTGGTGTCAATCAGTGCCTGCTGCCTGTCTCCCAGGAGTGGAGCAGGCAGGAGCAGGAAGAATGGTGCCAGGCCCAACCTTTCCTCCACCATGGGCTTCCTGAATGCCCCTGGCTGAGTCCCTTATCCCATTTTTGACACAAAATCCATGTTGGTGGCTTCTCCCATGCACTAAACCCATAGGACACCTTCTCCCATGTGTCTCCAGGTTCCAGCAGAGCATGGCTGGGCTGGACCCTGTTACTGCCTCATCCCACCTGGTCTCCTGCACTGACCTCTCTCTGTATGTGTGGATAACCCAAGCCTCAGTGCCATCCTGACTCATCTCTCTCCCACAGAAAACATATTGCTCCCACATTCTCAATAGGGAAACCAAGGCACAGTCAGCAGCAGCAGTGTGGGTGGGATTTTCCCCCATGCCCAGTCCTTCCGTGCCGATTCCAATGGCTTGACCACATCTCTCCAGCTTTGTCTTTAATTCATAGGGGATTTTTTTTTCCGCCAGGAGTGTCAGAAACCATCTTCCATCTCCTCCTATTCCTGCTCCAGGCCAGATTCCAGCCGAGGGATCGGTCAGTGGAAAGAATGTCAGCAAAGAGTAGGGCCAACCCTGCCGGGATTTTCCTTCCCCAAATCCCCCTCGGAGAGGCTGTGCCACAATGCATTCCCTGTGCCTGCTACCAGCACCCTTGCTCACTTTGGGTTGATTTCTGGCCTTTTTGGAACCCACCACGATGCTCTTCTCTCTTTGCAATGATTTCTTTGGGGTCAGGAGCCTTACAACACCTCCTCACCCTGATTCCAGTGCTCCTGCGGTCCCAGCCCTGGCAATTTGCTGTCCCCATGGTTTTAGGATCTATGAAAGTCTGCACAAAGGAAAGCAGGACCCACAGCCTTGAGGTTCACCCACAGCACAGCCCCTGTGCTCCCCAGGGTCAATCAAACCCCAAAATACTCAAGAAGGGAAGAAACTGGAACTTTGGCTTGACCCTGCTTAAGGAAAAAGCACTAAAACAGTTGGGAAGGGGCAGGATTCATCCCTGAGAGTGTGCAGAGGAGCCTGTGGCAGGTGTGAAGCTATCAGGAGGGGCTAATCTGAGCCCTAGGGCTTCAAATCAGCTTCACATCCTCATGTCAAGCAGCTCAAGCTGCTCATGAGGACCTTTATCAGTGGCACTTGCTGGTGGTGGACTCACACCTTGGTGAGTCCTTCGATCTGCAGGCAGGTCCCTGGGCAAGGGACATGACCTTGGTGAGTCCTTTGATCTGCAGGCAGGTCCCTGGGCAAGGGCTGCCTGCAGGACCACCCTGGCTCCAGCATATGAATGGGCTTTTTTGCCTTGCAGGAGTGTGTTTGGAAGCTGAGGGACACAGCAGTGACATAACAAGCTCCACAGGGCACGTGGCAGACCCATACAAGAGAGAGGTCAAGCATTTAGCACTTCATAAACAGGGGTAGCATTGGAGGGGCAGGTGCTGCTCACCACAGGGTCCCTGGCCAGGAGAACAGGGTCAGGCCAGCACTGATGGACCAGCAAAGCCACTGTGGATGAGTGGGCAGAGGAGACAGGAGAGGAGATCAGGAGGAAAAGGCACCAGTGTGTGATAGGGACTGGGAAGGAGGGACCCCACTGGGGTGGCACTTGCTCCACCTCCTTTTGGGGGGTCTCACCCATGCTGCCCACACTGCCACTGATGTGGGAGCAGGGATAGCTCTGTGCCTGCCCAACTGCAGCTCCATTAGTCCTTCTGTGCCAAGGAAGACCCTAACCCTGGACACAGCAGGGGGGACAGTGGGGTCTGTGGGTCCAGTGAGCTCATCCTGGAGGATAAATGTTGGTGGGTGTTCAAAGCCAGGCTGGATAAGGCCTTGAGCATCCTGCTCTAGTGGGGAGGGTCCTGTCATAGCCCACACCAGCCTAAGCACCCCAGAAAGGCAACTGCAGGGAGACAGTGGGCATAGGAGGCTTTCCTGTATTAGCAACAGTGTGGTCAGCAGAACCAGGGAG